CGCGCGGGCCCGTCGGAAGAGCGCGTGCTGGACTCGGGGGCCGGGTCTGCCACCGCCTGTGTGCGGCCCCGGCAGGCCGCCTAGCCACGGGACCCGAGTCCTCCAGCGTGCGGTGCGGACAGGCCTCTCCGGGAGGTGCGCCCGTGTCAGGACTGATGACCTTGACTAGCAAGTATGGCTACCGCCGTGACAGGAGGGAGGGGCCCGGCCCTTGGCGGAGACGGGGGTCTGGAGCAGACACGATTCCTGGGTGGAGAAACGAGCTGCTGCCCCAGCCTCCTGGCAGGCAAGTGCTTACCCACAAAATCGCTGACGGCCGCCAGCTGCCCGTTCTTCTTCATGCACACGTAGCGCCCATTGCTGGCTTTGAGTGCCACCCGCCGGCCACGCCACTCCATCTCAAACATGGTGTTGGCAGAACTGGAGGGGGCAGGGCAGGGTCCCCTCAGAACAGCGGGAAGTGAAGGTGCAGGGTCTGGCCTCCCAGGCCTCTCAGGTTCCAGGGGCTGGCAGGGGCTGCCCTCCATTGGCCACACCCATCACTCCTCAGAGCCACCCCCACCCCAGGGGCCTTCTTCCCCGACTGGGCTGCTAACAGGGGTCCCCACGCCGAAGTGGTGATGATGATTAGGGTGATGGTGGTAGAGGTGGTGGTGATGGTGGCGATAGATGGTGATGATGGCGGTGGCGGCGGAGAGGGTGAGAGCGGTGGTGGTGGTGGTGGTGGAGACAGGGACGGGTGCACTCACACTTGTGTGGCCGTGGCCTGAATGCCCCCGTGGGTGACCAGGGTCCAGTAGCCCCCAGTGCTGGAATAGAAGGTACACTTCTTTGTCTCCTGGTCAATTTGCATCAGGAAGGTCTCATGGTCCAGTTCTTCATCCTGATTGGCTGAGACGTTGATCCCTGGAGGGAGGAGATGGGGAAGCCCCTCACGCCTCTCTCGGGGACAGGGGATGGGGAAGCATGCTTTGGGGGCACCCCGAAGCCAGGGGGAATCTCCTTTAGAACGCTCTTGACTCGAGAGGATTTGGAAGGCACCGCTCCAAGGGGCCAGGAACCCCGCCCCAGGACCACCTGTGCCCTTTGCGAAGCCCAAGGGATCCTTGACCTGCCTCCCACAGCCCAGGAGTCAGGCCTGCTGTGCCGCACATCCCCCACTCAACTAACTAATCAGCAGTAATCTGCTTGCTACACTCTCTTGACCCAGGGCTTACACCAGCTTCTATTTATAACTCACCCCTAAGCTGCCCGGTGGGCACAGTGGGGTCTCTGTCCTTCCCCACCCCATGTCCCAGGAGCCTAGGGCCTGGAGCCTAGGGCCCACCCCTGGGGACTAGGCAGGGGCTGGTCCCCTGTCACCTCTGCAGCATCTCCCACTCGTCCTTGGTCTCCCAAGAGCCTGGGGGAGGGCAAAGTTGTCTGGGGTTTCTGGAAAGGGGACTCAGGGAGCACCCATGGCCAGCGTGGGAAGCAGCAGGCACTGGAACCTCCCCAGGGTCTTCGGTGAATGGAGTTTCTGGGTCCCTCCCACAAACCACTGCCCTGTTTCCATGGCAGCTGGCCACTCTGGGCGACGTGGCAGATTGCAGACACCCCCGCCCCCCCCAGGGCTCAGGGGCTCTGGTATGTCCAGCAGGGGAAAGAGAGGAAGTGGCACCTTTGCAAGGCTCATGGCCTGCGCCGTTGGTGTGTCCCCAGTGTCACCCACACACACCTCCTCTGGACAGGATGCTCTCAGGAGGCTTCCTCCTCACAGAGCCATCTGTTTCTAGGGACCTGGCCTCGCAGTGGGAGGGGGTATGGAATCCATATTGGTCTGGACAGTGTTGGTTTTATCCTCACTGCTCACAGCAGAGCTGGTTAAGCATTGGAGGTGTGTCTCATTTCTGGCCAGGGAATGTAAAGATGTGTCTGCTAGGATTTAGGGGAGAAGTTTTCATGCCTGAAAAGACATGTGCAGAGCCAATGCTTTATTTTTCTCTGGACTTTGTCTTGCCTGGCTGTGAGGCCTGGAGCGTCAGCAGCCATTTTGTGACCATGAGGGTGTCAGAGCTGAAGTCAGACCTGACCCAGGAGAGTGGAAGTAAGCACGGAAGACTCTGATGACGCCAGTGAGCTGGCAGTGGTGCACTGGTTGGGATCCCAGCACTCCGTGGGCTCTGGACTCCCATTCTTAGGAGATGATCGGTGTCCTTATTGCGTGAGCTGGTTTGTGGTCAGTTTTCTGTCGCTGGCAACGACATATACTGCCTGCTGCACTACCTGTCAGCACTGCCATGTCAGTGAGGCTGAAATGAGCAGACTCCACTAACAGAGGCAGCAAGACAAAGTTCTTGGGAGGAGAAAACGGGCAGATCCGGGTGCTCACAGACATCCCAGGGGGAGGGAGACAGGTGTAGGGGCTGCATGGCCAGAGAGATGACTTGAATCGAGGCACTGCCACGGTGCCACTCCCCAGATGCTGGGCAGGGGTGAGGCTCTGGCGGCATCCACCGCTGCAGCTGCCTTGGAATCTAGGGGTACTGGAACCACCTCCCACCCCCGTGGCTGAGATGCCACATCCTGTGTCCTCACTTCTCTAGGTCCTGAGTCAAAGTCTGAAACATTTGGTGAGCTGGTCACGTGCTGTCAGCCTTATTGCAAGGGACGCAGGGATGCGCGTGTCTGGTACTTCCTGCTTCTAAGAGATCCCATTTCTGTTTTTGGATTTGTTGTAGAGATGAGGTCTCGCCCAGTTGCCCAGGAGGGTCTCGAGCCCGCGGGCTCAGGCAATCCACTCACCTCAGCCTCCCAAAGGCCCGGGATTACAGGCTGCGCCACCGAGCCCGGCAAGAGATCCCATTTCTAAGGGAGGTGGGGTTCGTCCTTGGCAGAGGAGTCCCCCATCAAAAGAATGGGGCGAGAGGCCGACAGTCAAGACAGAAGGCGCTCCATACAGCCGCCACCCTGCCATCATCACCGCCATCCCCTCGCGGCCGCCATCATCAGGAGCCATGACCGCCACCATCCGCCCCCCCACCTCCACCACCTCCATGCCCTCCACCACCGTCACCATCACTGCCCCTCCCATCACCTCCAGGACCGTCAACACCTCCACCCCCATCACCGCCATACCCTCGCCACCACCCCCACACCATTCCGAGCATCACTGCCGCACCCTCACCACCTTGGCCATCGCCGTCACCACCGCTCTGAGTCTCTTTCCCAAGCTGTCCGCTTGCAAATACTTCTTTGGCCGGGCTCGGTGGCTCAGCCCGTCATCCCGCGCCTTTGGGAGGCTGAGGTGAGTGGATTGCCTGAGCCCGCGGGTTCGAGACCCGCCTGGGCAGCGAGACCTCCTCATCTCTACAGTAAATCAAAAAATCAGCCGGGCGCGGTAGCGCGCGCCTGTAGTTCCGGCTCCTTGGAAGGCTGAGGCGGAAGGATCGCCGGAGCCCAGCGGGTCGAGGCTGCGGTGGCCGGGAGCGGGCGCTGCACTCCAGTCTGGGCGACAGAGTGAGACTCCAACTCAAAAACAAAAACACCCCCAATACTTCTTTGTCCAACATGTTTGACTCATGGATGAAGCTTTCTCACCTCCGTTGCCCCCATTTACCCACTTGGCCAACTGAGGATTGCCAAGCACGTGGGCCTTGCTCCAGGCCAGAAACCGGCATGGTGAGACCATACGGTGTGTGGTGGGAAGGGCCCAGCGCCTGACCACGTGCCCGGACAAGCGCTCAGGCGGCGACTCCAGTGCCTGCTAGCCCGGCATCCTGTAAAGGCTGGGTGCTACCTGGCCCTAGGGCAGCAGTGTGTCCAGATCCCCATGGTGAGGCAGGGTACCCAGAGGGGGCTGGGCATCCATCAGGGCAGGGACTTGGTGGGCACGTGGGAGCTGCCAGGAGATGCCTGACTGGTGCTGGCTCAAAGCGGGACCAAGGAGGTGGTAGGAGTTGCATGCTCCCACTTTCTCCACCTGTCTCCAGCCAATCCCAGAGCCCCTGGGTCAGGGTGTGCCCCACATGGAGCCAGGAGGCTGGGTGGGTCATGATGGTGACAGGGCCAGGGCCTTGTCCCCAGCAGCTCAGCTTCCTCGTGGGGAGTAGACACTGTCTTTGTTTGCCCTGCAGGCTGCTAGGGAGTCGCACAAGGCAGGTGACCAGTGACCCAAGAAATGGGGAAGGCCAGGCCATGCCTCCCTGGGTCAGAGATGGTGCCTTCCCAGCAAGAAACCCAGGCCCCGGGTGGGGCTGCCCCCTCCTGCAGCGTCTGGCACTGGAGGTGACCCCAAGCCCCCATTCCCAGGGCCACGCTTCCCAGTCCACTCCCTGCCAGCTCCTGCCCTGGCCCCAAACCCGTTTCCCTTAACGTCCAGAAAGTGGGGGTGGAGGAAGAGCAGGGAACAGCCTCCTGTCCACACCCCCCTGGTGGCACCAGGCCTGGCGGTGAGATGCCCCCCACCAGCACACACCTCTCCAATCGGGTTCAACCACTGTCCAGCAGGCCCATGGCTTGGCTGAGACATTCTCCACCTGTCCTGAGAAAGGCTGGGGCCCCTCGCCCTTGACCCTGAAGCCACCAGCCCTCAGCAGGGACCCCCGGATGTGGCCCAAGGCCCACCCACCCGCACCATAGGCAGCCGCACGTGTCCCACATGGACACAAGCCCCCGCCGAGCGCAGACTCCCAAACACACCGACATGATGCCGCTCCCCCGTGAGACCCCCTGGCCTCCTCCTCAAGCAGGGAGACCCCGTGCCCCTCAGGAGGCCACTGCCTGTGCCCTGGGTACCTTGCCGCACGGAGACGTATCGGTGGTTGGCAGCCACCAGCACCACCTGCGGGTGACTCTCCTCCAGGTCGAACAGCTCGTCCTTGCCAGGCCGCGTGTTTCGGCCAGCCTTGAGCGTGCCAGCTGGTCCCACAGGCGCTAGGTAGCGGCCATCGCAGTCCTTGAAGGCCAACTTGCCGGCCTTGAACTCGAGAGTGTAGCAGGCGTGGGCCTCGGGCTCCCAGACAAGGCGGCCGTCGCTGCGCAGGTAGCGGCTGTCGCAGGACTTGAGGCAGTACTGCCGGCTCTGGAAGATGAGAGTGAGGAGGGCGTCCACGCCCCACGGCATGTCGCCATCCGCCGCCATCTCATCCTCCTGAGGGCACAGGTGCACGTAGCGCCGCCGACTCACACTCAGCAGGTGGGCCTGCGGGTGGATGGCCAGGTGCACGGTCCACAGCTCGGCCGGGGAGATAGCCGTGGCGAAGCAGGACAGCTGGTCTTCAGTGCCGCCGAAGAAGCGGCCGTGCGGCTCTGACTGCAACACCCAGCGCCCGTCGGGCTGTGGCAGGACCAGGAAACGGCAGTCACGGCCCGGCTGCTCCGCCTCGCAGGCCACACGCCCATCCTCTTCGGCCGACAGGTAGCGGCCCAGGTGGCTGCTGCGGAACAGCACGGCTGAGCCCTGCCCGGGGTCGGGCTCCAGCACCCAGATCTGCTTCCTCTTGAGGCTGGGCGCTGAGGCGTTGACCTTGAAGCCGAAGCTCTCCGCCGTCAGGTAGCGGTCTGTGTCATTAACCAGGCCAAACTGGATCTTGAGCACCTGGTGCAGGCCGTTGGTCGGCATTTTTGGCCGACAGTTCCCCCCACGGGGTCCGGGACGCTCTCCCTGAGCGCTCACGGCTCCCACAGCCCCCCAGAGGCACGGCTTGGCTTGGCTGGCCCGCGGCCCCTAGACCCAGCAGGTGTCATGGACCTGCTACCTGCTCTGACGCTGCTGCTGACCCGCGGC